GGCAAAACGATCAACGTCAGAGTCGCCGATGCTCTCTCGGAAACCCTCTGCATCTCCAGCGGTGTTCCTCAAGGATCCGTCCTTTGTCCCCTCCTTACTCTGGTCTACATTAACGACCTCCCGGATAATATTCAATTCTCGATGCAAATTTTTGCAGATGACGCAAAATTCTGGAGAGTTATTCGCTCAACATCAGACTGTGCCCTCCTCCAAAATGATTTGGATAGAATCAACAAATGGGCAGAAATAAATCACCTCCCCCTGAATGCTGCCAAGTGTCACCTACTGTCATTGGGCAGCAATCTTGCCAACACGTACCTCTTGGGGCAGTACGCAGAAAAAGACCTAGGTATCATTGTGCAAGAAAGTCTGGGGAATTCGCTCCAATGTTCCAAAGCAGCGAACGTGGCGAACATGAACCTGAGACTTTTGAGGCGAGCTTTTGGTGTTTTTGAACGACGGCTGGTACCCATACTTGTCAACTCCTATATCCGTCCCCACGTCGAATATGCTGTCCAGGCTTGGTGCCCATGGTTAAAACGAGACATTCATCTCTTAGAGCAGCCCCAACGAAGAGCCACCAAGGCAACACGCGGAGTATCTGGTCTCAATTATGAAGTGCGTCTCAGTTTACTCGGAATGTTTTCATCCGAATACCGACGACTACGCGGAGATCTCATTCTCGCATTCCGGATATTAACGGAAAGCGATCACCCGTGCAAATCGCTGCTCACCCTAGCCTCAAATAAGCGATCGAGAGGTCATAACCTCAAGCTGATAATCCAACACTCCCGATTAGACTGTAGAAAATGTTTTTACTCTCTTAGAATCTGTTCACAATGGAATGACTTGCCAACGCATGTGGTAAACGCTCCGAACATTACAGCCTTCAAACAATTGTTAGACATTCATCTGAGTGACAAACAACACATTGTGGTGTGATGTACCAGGTTTAGACTATTGGAATTTCAGTTCCATGTCGGAATCTAATGATTTTTATCTATTTGCATTTACCATCCTATGGGTCTTGTAAAGCCAATGCTTTTTATCCCATCATACACTATTGAACTATTGAACTATTGTACTGTGAATTGCTGAAAGGAAAAATAAGCAAGAGCGATTTACGGATTTGTTCATCAATCCCGAGATGAACCGTCTTCCTTTCCGTTAAAGATACCCGTTTTATGCCATGCGATAACAAGAGGAAAGCATTTAACATGCTAACCGAAATAGGCGGCAGATGACCGCGAATATTCCTGCCAACAATCGGTTCGACCTTAACGCTTCGGATGCGCAAAAACCGTAACAGGGATTGCAACTATATTATATATCTATCAAAATGACAATTTCGAAGTAGTAAGATCTTTATTGTTCTCCAAAACTAACATTGGCCAGACATTGCTAGCATAAAACGAAAATGACATGTAACATCGGAGCTTTAACAAAACCCACCTCATTGTGACTAGAACGTCCTAAGCCTTCTGACTTTCTCCATCGTAACTAAGGACTAATCAACCTGTGATCAACGTGCCTGTGACTGTAGAAAGCAATCCTTCTTTTTGTGGTGTCTCGTGTGTACTCAGGACTATGCACTACCTATTGTCTGGTAACTACTCAGGGTCAGCACACACACCACCTTTATGAGCTTGTTGCAATTGTTCATCGTAAAAATGGTGTAGATCTCATGCGTGCTTCATCCCGCTTTACTTCGTCTACATACTTTCAACGAATTGCAGTGAATTTGTCCTGCCTGAGTTTCGCTCCTACTTCCTAACGGCTCGCAGAAAGATTGCGACATTTGGGTCTCAGTACCATCGGGCCCCTGACAATTTTCACCTTAGTAACCAAATTCATCTTGCTGTATTCTTAACCGATATTCTATACTTCACCTAGCCATGATCCAGTTGTTACGGTCTCTCCTTCAGTCACCAAAAGCTTTTAAGGACAGGAGTAGCTAGAAAATGAAATAAATAATTTCATATAGTATATAAAGGATCAGCAAATCAGCCTTGTCAAATCCGTCCAGTTTTGAACTCCGCATCTATGGAATCTTGTATTGCTGCCTTCTGTTCGTAGCCTGTTTTTCTGCGAATTGCATAGTCAGCATGGCGGCACCCTAGGGACCATCCTACGACAATTACTATGACGGCGTCAACCAGCCCTATACATGTTGGCTCTTATACGCATGAGGCACTTGGATCCTTTTCCTGAATATGGTTAGGCGAATATCTTGTTAGCGCTACAACTGCAGGTTCCGGATTGATTATATGGTCGGTATCTTAGGAAGGTGCTGTTTTCCCAAAATTTCGCCATATTAATTATCTGGAGTTACGGACATTGGTATTCTATTAATGGCCCACTTTCCTGTCGACGTTACCACTTACTTTATCCGAGAAATTTATGTCTATCCCCAGGAGGACAGAATATTTGTCTGACATTCTGTTTACCGAAAGAACCTTTTAATCCACCCCTCAGTTGGAACTTATGGGTGGACATGTCACGAATATTTCACTTGACCACGGACGACAATTTCTGCATAGATGTTATAAAATAAATAGGAAATAGTACCCTGCATTTGCCTTTAAAAATTGGTTATAACAACCAAGTATGGCTCCTTTCACTATTACAGGAGCACTTTCTCCAAAAACATTACGCTGTTCCCAAAGCAAGCAATACATTCGTCCCAGAACACTTGGTCTATGATTTAGCTACCAAATGGTTTAACTAAGTTGTATTTGGTTTGCTCCAAACATTTGTACCTCAAAATCATAGACCACCAAAATTATGATCCCACAGCAATTTTTGAATAAGAGGAGCAAAAAAGTGTTTGGTGTAAAAAAGGCAATAGCGAGACCCTGACCACGTTTATCCATCCTGGAAAGTTATGTTGCTACACATCCTAAAATTATCGAGCGTTAGTAAACATGATCCGTCGAACATTTTCGACCTTCATCTTACCTACTTAACAAACTCTTTCCCTGTATGGCCGAAACGTATTGAGTACCATGAAAACCTTGTATTTCCGTTCCAATTATGAGTGACGTATTGCCATAGTGCGACAATTCCATTACGTCTTTCCAGGTTTACCTGGTTCCATCAAGAAAGCATTTAGGTATATATATGTTTAAAGTTATTTGTACCCTGTCATAGACATCCTTTTGCGCTGCGTTCTTTTGCTTGACCACTCTAATTTGGAACCATCAACTGCCACCACGTTAAAGTAACGCCGAAGCAGTTTCCCCGCGCTGCTAAGCCATAGATAGCGCAATTTGAACTACAGTGTCTATAATTTAAGCGTACTGACGAGAATACCAGTAAAATTCCAATGTAAAACCAGCAAGTAGAGTGAGGTTGCGGGTGGTGAATGACCATAAGTACTCAGCGACAGGCTGCTTTAGGGTTGAAGTCTAGGAAAATACGAAGGGAGCTGGATGACAGACAAATGTCTGTCGGAACTCTATCTATTTACTTTATGAACATGCTTTTGCATTGCTGCGAACCGACGCCTAAGTTCAATGATTACCTAGCGCGATGGTCGGCTTGGGAGCCCGCTTTTCCAAAGACGCTACCGTCAATTGTGAACAAAACAATGAGGCTGCCGAAATAATCTTGGTGAAGATATCCTCGGAATACAGTGTTGGCTACCGGGGCTAATTTAATTAGCTTTATTTTCAGGTATGTTGCCAGCTTCCTAGGCAAGTGGCCTGGAAGGCAGGAATGCCATAATACATTAAAGCTGATTCGCCCATCTATCAAGAGCCATCTCTCCGATGGATATCACAAAGTGGTACTGATGGCTCGCGGGTGCCTCATTTGACCCGTTTATACGCTGCTTCAATTAATCTGGGAAATGAGGTAAGATTCACTATGGATCATTTATTGATTCGCGTAGTATTTGCCGTCCGGAGGTGGAAAGTGGATATAGAGGACCAGAGTTCTAGTTGCATAAGGCATCGACAGACGGAAACTTATGGGTTGCTTGCACTGTATAAATGTCCGTATTATCAGCAGCTATCTGAAAATAACCACAAATGCATAGTGGTTGTATGCTACAGACTCCAGAACAGCCAACGTAGGCATGTTCACTCCACGAATTATTTCTTGTTTCATGACAGAGTGAAACGTTGCGTGATGGAGAACTGCGCGTACAAATCGTATCCAAAAGCATTAACTATGTGCTAAGACAGAGGAAAAATGCATAACTTGGTACTGTCTCATGGAAAGTGCTAATACACTAAAAAGCAAAATTTCGCGCTCGTGTGTCCTGCTTAACAATTTGATGGGCTACTGGGTACCGGTCGCAAGGGGTGCTCGGAATCGAGCGTGGACAAGACAAGGCAGGACACATACTGTAGCCCGTGTGCATGATAGATTAATAGCCTCTAGCTGGTGACCCCGCCAGGAGGACACGCCAATGCTTTGGCTCACCAAGCAAAGAAGGGTGTTATATTTTAGAGCGCTACACGCTCTGATGTGCCGGGGGTTAGCGACAAGCCAGCATTTTTGTTGTATATAAAATTATGTCAGCGTTTATATTAAAGGGTGTTTAATGTGCTGCACAATATTTTCCCTAATAGCGGTACCCTGTTTTTGTTTACTTTGGCATAATTTCAATTTTTCACATGATTTGCTCAGAAAGTTGCGTGCAAAGTTTGGTGGATGTTAGCGGATAGTGAACATTCATCAGCTCCTGCCCTCCAACTGGAAATAACGGCCAACATCTCTGTTCAATAAAAGAAAGCTATTGTTATCTACTTCATCACAAATATGCACTGGACGACATCCGTTTACAGCACAAATTTTCTAGGTTCAAAAATAAAAGTACAACGGCTTATATGTCACAAATATAAAATAACAGCCAGTAAAATGTCTTTGCTAGTAAAGTATTTTCATGTTAATTTTAAATAAAATGTTTGTTTAAATTTTTAAACTTAATTTTTTTGTGACCTTAAGGTTGTACAAATATTTGAAGTTGTTATGTGATAATGTTTATCGTTTGAATGCAACTTCCTTTATCTCGCGAGCATATGGTCAAAAAAGCATCAAGTCAGAAACAAAAACAGAGAATATACTTCATTGTTACATTGGCCTTTTCTCTGTTTCTGCCTAACGCAACTGGGTCTGTGGTGCAACATAACAATCACAAAGGTGTTACAACAGAAAAATGCCGGATTGCTATGGATGAAATGTCTTCCATGGGAATAAAACCCTGCATACCCGCCAAACTGCCGATATCCTGTAAGTCGACAATATTTCTATCTTTAACGTACGCGTTTTGCGTTTATTTAATACGTTGCACCCACATGCTTAAAAACTGCAAGCCACTATCAGAATCTCTTATATCCCTTCGAGTCTCTGAGTATATTTTGTTATGCCAATGTGTTCCTTGGTAGGAATGGTTGCCTTCGTTTTTGTTAAATGGCAAGTACTTTATTTCCTTTAGAGCGTTGTTTCGCTCACTCAAGAGACAAAATTTATCGAAAGATGGTCAGGTCAAATACCACGGAAAATAGATATTCGCCTAACGTGGGTCGCTTTTCTTGTGCCGGTAAGAAAACAACAACCTGCGACAGTTCGACGATGGATTGACTCTTCTGGTTCCTGCAATAGTATGAAATAGCGTGTTGATTGTGAATAGTACCTATGGTATGAGAATGCAAGTCTGCAACCACCAGCATTCAGCCATAGATTATTAAGTTATAATAACATGGCGCTGTTATTTTAACTGAAAGACGAGTATGCTTCCTTTCATCGACCGCTTTTTTGCCCTGGAATCCAAGCGCAAATTTATGACTCATGTTAGTTAATAAAAGATGGCATTGAAGCCTTTCTTATTAACTAACACTATATTATATTGTAAAGCTGGTTCTCTTGTTTGGGCTTTATTTGATACCACATTTACTTTCTACAGGACCAGGTTTAAAGCTGCGCTAAAAATGTTTTACTCATGACTGGGTTTTCCTAAAGTGGTCTTATGACAATCAGGAGCACAGAAAGCAGTATTTCAGAGCGCTGTAATGTACAATACAGCAGATAATGTTTGGTTAATTTTGCCATGTTGGATTCATCCTTACCACCAATACACACGTTAACTATAGGTGGGAAACACATTAGCTACCGTGCCGCCCTACCTAAAAGAAAATGGAGAGAAAATATTCAACAGGTGCAAGCCGGCTAAGCTCCCGCTACCGTATAGGCATCTCTCTGATAAGACACCAACCGGCTACTATGCAGCAAAAAGATTACTTTACGAAATTGTACAATACTAAATACTAAGGTCATGGTTGGAGGGGTGGCTAAGAGTGCTTGGATGGGACGAAAAAACTCACAGCACGAACGCCACTGTGGTCGGTTCCTAGCCATATCAGCAAACATATTTAGCCAGAGGTATCTATCTCCTTATGGACCCCAACCAGGAAGCCTAGACCCTCCGAATGAAACCAACTTCGAAGTGATGACTTTCATTCCTCTCGACGAAGTCGTCGCTTAGCCACCTCTCCTTTGCTTCCACCCACATCCAAGGCGCGCAAAAAACGTATCTCGCGGAGTCGATGGGTTGACGTGCGTAACACCTGGCCAAGCTATCAGAGCCTAATGAGTAAAATAACTGTTTTGAGTGGTTTACTTCCTGTTCATGTGGCGTAAATACGACGACAAACGCACGCTGCTTACTCGGTGTTCCCACCAGATGTGAGCTACTTTACGAAGGCACCGGTGTTTGAACGTAACGTGCCTCTTTAGGTCCGCGGATTTAATGAGCCAGGCTTCACAACCGTACAGTAAGGTCTAACTTACCGCTGCATTGTACACTCTACCTTTCAGTGCGAGAGTGATGTCGCGCCGGTACCATAAGTGGCAAATATTAGCAAAAGCACCTAGAGCTTTTGCTAAACGGTTCGTGATCTAATATTTAATCCCACTGGCATTGATCCAACTTCCCATGTAGTTAAATTTTTGAACGACTTCTAGCTAATCCCCAACAAGAGTCAGCGGAGGATGCGGTCCAGGGCAAACTTGGAGGAACGCTTTGCACTTCGTGCATGCAAAACAAAGTCTGAGGTGACGGTTAGCCAGTGCAGCTTGGCACGTTTGTGAGCTGTCACAGATTGGGGAATTATAATTAGCAAACGCTAAGCCAAGAAGCCGTTTTACTAGGAGCAGCTTCACGTCTAAGTCGTGATCTATAACCGCGATTATCATGACCTCATCAATAGCGAAGTTGAAAAGGAAACGGGACAGCGAGCATTCTTGTCTCACACCACTGGAGATATTAAAGGGCGACGACAGCTTGCCGTAAGCCCTCACTCTGCCCGAGCTACGCGCATATAATGATCAGTTAATATTTACGCATTGTTAGGTACACCTTTTCTGAGTAAACCTTCTCAAAGTGCACACCTATCCACTGTATCAAATGCACCTTTGCTATTGTGGAACAAGACTATGGTGGGCTGCCAATATGTGTGACGGTACTCCAACAACTGACGCAAAGTGAATATGTGGTCAATGCAGCTCCGACCACGACGTAACCCTTATTGTTCTTTACAAATATGGCTTTCACGAGTGCCAGTCAGTCTGTGAAGGATGCCAGAGGCAAGAAATTTGGGGGCGATGGAGATAAGACTGCTTCCTCTAGGATTGTTGCATTTCAATCGTGAGCAACCCTTGAAAAGTGTGACAGCGACGGAGTGGCTCCAGTCCGCCGCGTTTAACATTTTACTAGTAACTCGTACAAACCATCCACAAGAACAGGTCTCCAAAATTTAAAGATGACTAGAAAGAGAGCAGCTGGTCCCGCTGTTTTATTTAACTTCAACAGTCCGATATCCCATTTTATTTCTGAGAGAGGATGGATCCTAAGGGACAGCCCACGGTGAGAAGATCGGTGACCCGTGAGCAACCTAACAATTCTGACCGGATAAATTGCCTTTCAAAATGCTCAGCCAAACGCTCTAAGCGTTTTGACATGTTGTGAATAAGCCGTCCACTCTTGTCACATATGGTTTTTACTATCACATGTTCGCCTGCTGCCCGTTTCTCGTATCAGTCGGAATCGCGTACAAGGGTTACCAATGGCGGTGGCCATTCCCATCTCTGTCGCACGATGAGACCACCAGGATTCGCGCTCTCTCTTTATACTAGCACGGAGTTCTGCCCGGAGCTCGTTGCGAATTTTCTTGTGTTTGCTTCCAGCTGGAAAATGCCGACAAGCCTTGATAACTTCCAGAGACCGCGAAGTGACCCAATGACCATGTGGGCGATTAGGCTTACCACATGAGGATTTTCCAGATGCTTGTATGGTCTGGTGAATATGGGACAAGTGAGCTTTAATTGTGTTTCGCTTGCGCTTACTCAACTTGCTTGAAAGCGTACTTGGATAGGCCCTTAGAACAGCTGACTTCGCTAGTTGGCTGGTGTCAATGCGCTCACAAAGCCATCGTAGGCATCCGCCAAAGCGCAACGGTAGGTCAGCACATACGAGTGCATAGTCAGTGTCTACACATGTGCGCCGAATCAAGCGACAGTTCTGACACAGCCACTTCATCGGTAACTTATAGCAAGGTGATTGATTTTCGTCCATAGCTGTTATGAAGCTGGTGGGCGCCAAGTCACCCTCCGGCGGGTGTTGTGTCGGAAATTAGTGATCGCATGAAATAAGCAAGCATCCACACACAAATGAAGTAACCGTTCACCGATCTCCTTATGGGAGCCTACACTATGTTGACCGCACAGATGCAGTTCATCTGAGGTAATATTCTAACTTGCGCTTTCAGCTCCACAACCAGCACAAAGTGTTCGAGCTCCTACTGTGGCAAAGGAGCTCGTTCAGTTGGGTAACGAAGTTGCATTGCATCGTGTCAATGCTAGAGTTTGTGGGTGCTTAGGCTTCGATAAAGGATGGAAAACTGGTAGCACCACGCGACTTTAAAGTTTTGAACAAGCCAGCCAATCTGTCCGCACATATCCGGCTACTAACTGGAATCAAAGCAACAAAAGTAGCTTCAGCCTGAGGACTCTGGGCAATACCAACACCGGCTTGGCCGGTACTCAAAGCTATATAGTCACTGAATAGGCACAAGGAGAAAATGTTGCTAGTGTCACCTAAAGGTGATCGTAAAGTGAGCCCAGAGCTCGAGTCTTGCAGGCGGGTCTCTAATAAGCAGCAGATATCAATCGAAAGGTTTTTAATGTTTGGGCAAGTGCTGCCTGTTGACCGATTTGAAGCAAAGTGTGTACATTGGGGCAGGCGTAGCAGAATGAAGATCGGGGATCCAAATGAAAGCCAATCTACTGGATTGACCGTTTATTTGGACATGAGTCAATTGACAGTGCAAAAATAACGCTCCGCGTTTACACGTGTGTTGAACCTAGAAGCCAAGCGACGGTGAAAGCAAGGTGGGGTTGGGCCAAGAATTGGGAGGTTGAAAATAGGCGTGCTAAAATTGAAGCTGGAACGGGACGGTAAGATAGAAAAGCGTAAGAAGAGGAATAAGAAAACTGGAAGGCTTAAGCAGTAGCATCCAAACCCCAATCCACCCTGCTCGACGTAGCAGATAGGGCAGCGTTGATTATCCTCTGCGGTAGCCAGAGCATCAAGAAAATGTTTGAAGAGAAATTCACTTTATTGCTTGCGCAGTATACTGTCAGATTGTTTAGACCTATCCAGGAGAACAATTGGGCTTCTCAACCGAAGCCTTTGGTTCAAAAACCTGATCGCAAGGCAGCGGCTTTTGCATTAGGCTACAAGGAATCCGTTATAAGGAATAAGGAGCCATCCTTATTCCGGTTTCTAACCATGAGGACCAGGAGACTGAGTTTGTCTGGCCTCTAACTATTGGCCAATCTGGTATTAGTGACTCTGAAAGTGCAGAAAAGCAGTACTTAGCGTAGCTCAATGGATCAGCGAGGCACGCAAACCATCGCATCCCGGTAAGGTCCAGCCTTATTGCGATGGATTATGTAGGAGTGCATTTATTATAAGTATTAAGCCAAAGCAAACATTTCCGTGCGACCGATTTGATTCAAACTTTGCCTCAAAGGGATAGATCGGGTCCCGAATATTGTCACTTGCGCGCTATTACTGTCGCTATGGCGTACAGCAAAATTGATTTTGTTTTTACTCTGATATACCAGTAATACTCTATTGAAGGCTGTCGGTCTTGGTAAAATGGTAACTTACAGCCTACTACTTATTATTAAAGATCCTAGAAGCAACACCAAAGGCAACAATACATTATTAA